CATAATACAAAATATAATTTAGAAATAACAAATAATATGAAAAGTCAGATAAATAGAGGGATAAAAATCTGCAGAAAATGGAATTTTGTGTGGCAGAATTAGTATTCTCCATTCTTGATGATTGTAAGTAGGGAATACATGCTAACTTTGTGTGTGTGTGTGTGTGTGTGTGTATGCATGTGAGTGACTTGGGTGAAGGTTTGCAGAGCAAATTCATTTTCCATTCAACAGTTCATACACATTTTGTTTCATGACATTGATTGCAATCCTCATAATGTAGCAGCTTTCTTCTCACTTCTCTGTGGTTACCTTTTCCCTGTGTCCTTCTTTCTTATGGATTCCCACCCTCTGAGTTATCTCCCCATGCAAATACTGCCCTTCTAATCTCCCATGGCTGATTGTTCTAAGGAGTGTACCTACCTAGTGTAAATGTTCACCTTATAGGCCTGCTATTGTTTGGCTGGAAGCCACAGGAGTGAGTTCAATTATAGGCTCACTTTTGTGTGTGTGTGTGTGTGTGTGTGTGATTTGGGTGAAAATTTACAGAACAAATTCACTTTCCATACAGCAGTTCACATACATTTTGTCTCATGACATTGACCACAATTCACCACAATGCAACAGCTCCCCTCCCACTTCCTCCCGACAGTCATCTTTTCCCTGCGTCCATCCCTCCATGCACCCCTGCCCCCTGAGCTGTTTCCCTGTGCATAAACAGTGCTTCTTTCTCCCATTATTGTTCTCTCCAAGGAGTGTATCTACCTCAGGTAATATTCAACTCCTGTACCTATCTTTGCTTGGCTGTAAACCACAGGTGTGGGTTCAATTCCAGAACTAAACGGCAGCTAGGAGCCATAGTCTCATTGGTTTCACCAGGCTCTATCAGACCAGCAAACCTGGTCTCCCCCCTTTTTTTTCCAAATACTTTTGAGTTTTGTTCCACATTGTTCTCCCTCTCTATCCAGGATCTCCCACATAGATCCCCCTCTGAGTGGTTGACGTTGTTAGCTGGGCACCATCTAGTTTTTCTGGTCTCATAATTGTATAGGCTCCAGATCACATGGTGTACCAGTCGCTAGGACTAATTCTTTCCATGAATCTTTGGTTTTCTTCATTCTTCTTTGCTCTGGATAAGGAGAGATCCATCGCTGCATCTAGATGGCTGGTTGCAAGCTTTTAAGATCCCAGTCACTACTCACCAAAGTAGGAGGTGGAACAATGTTTTGTGTAGTATGTTATGCCAATTGAGCTTGATGTCCCCTGTAACTATGGTCTCATAGACTCACTTTTTTATGTAAGTGATTTTAATAGAAGGATTTTAAAAATGATGTACATATTACAAATTTATAGAGACAAACAAGACCCAGGATCTTGTAGAGCACAAAAGGACAAAAACAAAGTAAAGACCATAGAATAATTACAAGTTATAGAAAAACAAAATGAAATAAAATTTAAAAAAAATTAAATTTGGTGCCTAAGCACTTGACTGCTAACCAGAAGGCTTGCAGTTGAAACCCACCAGCCACTCCTCAGAAGGAAGATGGGGCAATCTACTTCCATAGTGATACTGCCTTAGAAACCCAAGGAGGGGTCACTATGGGTTGGGTCCGACTCGACAGTACATAACAACAACAACAACAACAAAGACCAGATATATTGTCTATGTAAATAAATATAAATGGTTTGAATCCCTCTTTAGTAGGACAAATATTTCAATATCATAAATCTGTAATAGCACAAATATTTTTAGAATGGGCCCAAATCTCAAATCCTACTGAAACTAAAACAGTATTAAAACAAAACCAAACTCACTGCCATCGAGTCAATCCCAACTCATAGTGACCCCTCGTTGGGTTTCTGCAGCACTATCTCTGCAGAAGTAGATTGCCCAACCTTCCTGTCGAGGAGTGGCTGGTGGGTTTAAACTGCCAGCCTTCTGGTTAGCAGTCAAATGCCTTAGGCACTATGCCAGCAGAGCTCCTACAGAAACCATACTACCAAAAAAATGCCTCATGCAAATTTAAAAAATGAAGGAGGTACGTTAAGAGTGAGGATTCATAATGTGAGTTTTTCTGTTAACCAGTTAGATTCCTGGGAGGATTAACTATAGAAAATATAGCTTAGACTCATACTTTGTTTTAGTAATTTATTCCTTTATTGCAGGTCAACAGAACTTTCGGGAATGACCGTTGGCCTTGCTTTCATGTCTACAATGTGCTCTCCTTATCATTCTGTTGGCCTTGTTCAGGTTAGTTTGAAGATGAACTATTAGTTCAATAATGATGTTTACTTTCTTTAGAGTAAGAATCCTCTATGATTATGAATATAATATAAAAGTTTATAGACACTTAACATACAGAGAGCAAATTAAGCTCATGTGTACTTAGTAACTATTATAATATACCATGATTGTACAAAGAATTTGCCAAAGGAAAAAAATTGATACAAGTCTGAGGAGTTGCCACCAACTCTTACCTGGTCTTTGAAGCAAAAGTATGGCTCATGCAGCTTGCATGACATATTAAATTTGGAGAAAACCTGAGCAAACGTGTGGAGGTAGATGAGTGCTGACATGTAGGGAGCCTGGCTTGGCTTGGAGTTTATTTGAAAACCTCCCTCTGATCATCTGGAATGACAAGGTCCCTCTCGTAACTGGATTCTCATAGGCATGTCAATAATATTTTTGAATGCTATTCTTTAGTATGTCGAGGGTATAAAAATGGGAAAAATAGCTCCATTACCTCACCTCCAATACATTTGGGGAACTGATCATACAGTATCTGTAGAAAACTTTAAGATCTTAGGGTAGAGTTCCTTGATAAAAAGTAGTTGGAAGAAGAGTATGAGATATGAAAGAGTAGGAGCAAAACTATAGAGGTCTAAGATTTTCTACACATGGAGGAATCATGATTGTCTGGAAATGTGGAATGAGAGGGATGAGACCAGTTTGCAAAATATTTTAGTCAATTTAAGGCAACACATTGTAGCTGTTTTTAGTGAGAATGGAGGAGAACTGTAACAAAGGTTTATCTATTTAATGTACAGTTCTATGAGTCTTCAGAAGTACTTATATTCATATAACCATCATGTCTATTAAGACAGCTTGGAAAGAAGGTTGGGCAATCTACTTCCACAGTGATACCACCTTGGAAACCCAAGAAGGAGTCACTATGAGTCAGATCTGACTCCATGGCAGTGAGTCTTTTATTAAGACATAGAATATTTTTATCATCCTAAAAATTTCCCCCATCCCACTATGTAGTCAACTCTTTCTTCTACCCTCATCCTCTGGGAAAAATGGGTCTGTTTTCTGTCCCTATAGCTTTGTATTATAAAGAATGTTACATAAATGGAATCATACAGCAGGTAGTTTTAAGAATCTGGTATTTTCACTTAGCATGATGATATAAGATTTATTCATGTTATTGAATATATTGTTAATATCATGTCATGCTATTTTTTTTTAATCAGATTGAAGAAGAAAATTTTCTTCTATTTCTAGCTTGGTGAGATTTCTTTTTTTTTTTTTTTATCATGGATGAATATTAAAGTTTGTCAAATATGTTCTTCAAAATCTAAGAGAAGGTATATAGTTTTTCAATTTTAGTCTGTGGACACAGTGAATGGCATTAACTGAATTTCAAATGTTAAATCAATTTTGTATTCCCAGAATAATAAACCCAAAATGGCCCTAATGTTTTATATTTTCTATATATTTCTTGATTCAATTTGCTAATTGATTTTGAGGATTTTTGCATCTATATTTGTAAATAATTGGTAGTTCTCTTTTCCTGCAGTATATTTTTCAAGTTTTGTTATCAGAGTAAAGCTAGTCAGGAAAAAGGAAAGAAAGAAAGAAAGAATTAGGATATGTTCTCAACTCTTCCATTTTCTGAATATTCTTAAACATTTAATATAATTCATCATTAAAACCATTTGA